TGAGGCCACCTGCCCTCTGAGGGAGGCTGAGTTTTGCAAGGGCTGGCATTCCTGTGTTCACAAAGACATTCTACTCAGCATAGGGCAGGTGCCTAGTAAGTAAAGAGGAGATGTACATGTACAACATAATGGGCCAAAGCAGAAGAGACACATTAAAAAGAGGACAACTTTTAAGTAGAAATCAAGGCAATACATACTTGTAAAGCAAAACACAGTTTGTAAGGCAATACACAGTTTCTGTAATGACTCTGGCACTTTTGGATTGGATTAAGCAATATCCTCTTGCTAAGATACGTATCGACCCTGAGAAATTTTATTCAGTTTGTAAAGTCCCAGTTAAATTCTTTTGTACAATTGGAGAAATAAAAGCCTTTGATTACAAACTAAAATTTCCCCAGCCCTCTTAAAAAGGGATGGGGGAGGGGAACAGGTGTGGAAGAATGTCTGATCTGTCATATTCTGTAGTCAGAGCCATAAACGTGTTTGGGCAAGGCAATCTGATGTTCTGATAACGTTGATAGAAGTAACATGAAGATTGGGTCACAGGAAGCCCAAGATAAATGCTGAGAGGAAACAGGTTCTTTTTGAAGTAGCCTCTTCATAATCATTTTCCCACACATTTGTTCAACTTCCGAAGGAAGAATGAATACCTGATTTGCTTTGCAAATCAAAGAGCTTAAGAACAAGATATTCAGCTAATATTATAACAAGTGTGTTTGGAGGCTGCTCCAGCTCCCTTTGAATTCAGGCTGGGGCTTCAGAGCTGTGCTAACTGTTCCCATAAGACAAAGGCTGTGGTCTTCATTTATTTGGATATACTTGTTTGATAGTTGGATTCAAAATGACTTATTGAAAAAGATTAGAGCAGAAAAATAACAAAAATGTTATTAGGGGAGTAGAAGTAGAAAGGGAGTAGAAGTGATGATCCAGGGTGACACAGATGGTACAAGAGGCTACCAAATTTTATTGTCCCATCAGCCAAAGCAAAATTCTCATCATTTTACCTAATTCTTGCTTTTACCTAATACTTAGCTTTTAGAGATATTAATTTAATGAGATGACACGATGGACAATGTGCTCAGCCACCGCCCAACGAAACTGGCAGTTGCAGAAAGGAGCACCTTCGTGGTATTGCATGAAGCTCTGAAATTGAGGGAGGGGCAAAGCTGCAAAGGTGGCCCTACTTTTTACCTTGCTAAGGCCATGGCAAGCTTTTAATTTATTGTCATGTTCTGCATGCATCTAGGAGTTTTATGTAAGCTGACCATTGTGAAAAGAAAGAGAGCAAGCTCTAGAAAGGCCAGAGGAATCTCCTCCTCTACATGCAAAAAAAAAAAAAAATACACTTAAAAAAATCCTTTGATACTAGCCATGGGAGGCTCAGGAGTCTGAGGCAGGAGGATCACGAATTCTAAGCCAGCCTTAACAACTTAATGAGGCCCTAAACAATTCAGTGAGACCCTGTCTCTAAATAAAACACAAAAAAGGGATGGGGATGTGACTCAGTGGTTAAGCGCCCTTGAGTTCAATACCAGGTACCAAAAAAAAAAAAAGTCCTCCTTTGAAACTAGTCCACAAATCCAAAATTTCTCCAGACCCACTTTGAATTTCTGATAGCTGCCTGGCACAGTGCCTAGTAATTGGTGTTTGTCAAAAGAACATGTGATTGATAATATATAATCCAAGAACTATGATTATTTTGGAGATGCTCTAAGCTTATGAAGAGTTTTGAAATGAGATCATGGTCTTGTTACCAGTAGGTAACACTGCCCCTGACTTTCCATGGGATACTTTCTACATACACATTTCTTTACGTTATGACCTAAAAACTGGTTTTTGTTCTCCATAACCTAATGAAAAGGATAACAAAAATTGGCTAAAATATTTTTGGTGAAAAGGAAATTTTATCAATGAGAAAAAGTACATTTAAAAATACTTCTGCCAGGTGTGGTGGCGTATTCCTATAGTCCCAGTGGCTCAGGAGGCTGAGGAAGAAGGAAGGATCACGAGTTCAAAGCCAGCCTCAGCAAAAGCAAGATGCTAAGCAACTCAGTGAGACCCTGCCCCTAAATAAAATACAAAATAGGGCTGGGCATGTGGTTCAGTGGCCAAGTGCCCCTGAGTTCAACCCCAGTATTCCTCCCCCCAAAAAATTTCTTCCTAATTTGTTTCATGACTTCTGTTTAAAAGACCTACAACATTAAGAATTTCTGGGTGTGAAATTAAAAACACAGGCCTCTTTTAACCACACAAAATTGAGATGTTAAGCACAAAGAAACTGCTCATTAATATCAGGCTCAAAGTAAACATAAAAGTAGTTCAGAAAAAAAGACCATCACTACAGGCTTTATAAAGGTAAAAGATTTTATTTCTTATCTAACCATGCTGCATGTGTACATACAATATTGATATATACAACTTGAACAAATACAATTTATACATGAAATACCATGAAAGTGTGGCTTTTAAATTTAACACAACAAACTTGTACAATTTGTAATTTTGGCCAGTATACAGTATTGTTAGTAATGCTATTGAAGTTATTAAGGATTTAAATTACACTAAAGTTAAGTTCAAAGGCACTAGAAAAGATCTATGTTTTCTTGTAGTATTTTACGAAAAAAGAAAAGTTAAAAAGGAAAATAAATGCATACATTAAGAAATTGGGCAGACACTGGCGTGCTTAAATGTAAACTCTACCCATTCCTTAATTCACAGCCCTGTAGGAAAGAGAGGGACTTTCCTTAAAAATTAAGGGGAACACATGTGCCACTACATAATGACTATATACTGTATAATTACTTATGTTCTAATTTTAAAAAAGGAATTAAGGGGAAAGATATTAAAACAGACTAAAAAAAGAAGCAAAAACAAAACCCCCAAGCTATAATAATTTAAGAAACATGTTACAGATGATATTATAACACTTCCTTCCCCCAAAGTAATGTTAAATTTTTTAAAGAAAAAATTCTTCTTTTTCTAAAAAGTACATGAAATAGCTTATCAAATGAATTCTTACTAGTGCAATAAATGTGTAGATGCAGAAGTCCCCCACCCCCCTTAAGGAATCTTACACTTCACAAGAATCTAAGCACAAATGGGGAATACCATTTTATATTTTAAATTACAACTATCTATATATATATAATTACAAGGTTTACTGAAGACCATACTTAAACTAAACATGGTAGCAAGGCCCCTTTTAATAAATAAATATTACTTTTTAAATTAAAGGGAAAGAGAATATTTGTTCAATAACCTATTATATATTTGTGATATTTTAAATCTGCACATTTACTTCAAATAATGAGCAAATTTTGTTCGTGTATATTCTTTTAGGAAATTAACACTGAATTTATAAAATATTTCATTTGTGAAATAAAACACAGTAAATGTGAAAAAAACAGAACTACTGTGACTGGAGCTAAATGAATACCTCTGAAGTCAGTGTCCTATATATTCAAATGGATATTCAGACCTGGCTTGAATATTTGATTTTGGTATATTTAAATATTTAATGTCCATCTAGCAGAATCAGTTCTAGCATTAATTCCTTTTTTAATAAATTGCTAAAGCAGGCTGCTCAAGAATTTCTCAACATTTGACACTTCATAGATTTCTTTTTGTTCTTGTGTTGGGGTGGGATAGAAAAAATATTTTACATACTGTGGCTTAAATTTCTATAATGTTTTAAGCTTAATTCAAAAGGTATTCCTTTCCTATTAAATAAACTGTTGAAGGCTAGAAACATGGACTTTTAAAAAGAAAGAGCACTGGTCACTTTTTTCCTACAGGTAAAGATATCTGTAGACTAATTACTAAAGTTAAGTGTGCATCATCAAAAACATTTTACAATTACCAAGATATTCTACTCACATAAAGTCTTGACAAGACATACTCACCTCAAGTCTTCACAGTACCTAAACAATGCCCCTCGGAGCAAAGTTATATACTTCTAACTCTCTCATACACTACAAAGAAAATGCTGCCAAGTGAAATGCAGTTCTCATTACCTAGCAAATACCACACAGGACATTCAGGACTCCACTTCCAAAAAGTACTTCAAACATATGGACACATTTTTACTACCACCTCACCAGTATTCTACCTCCACTTACCACCACTCTAACACAACTCTAACACCCCAGTATAATTATTAAACTAATGTTTAATCAAACTTATTTAAATAATGTTAATTTAATAAATCCTAACTTGAGAAGTCTCAAAACCTTTGCAACTCACACATGTCAGGGTTGATTATGAAATTTTAAAACTCACAGAACAGAAGACTAAGTGGTTTAAGAATAGAAAAACTTTTACAAAAAAAAAATTAAAATTTTGTTAAGTAGCCAACCAAAAACAAATTATCTATTACTTAGATTACTATGAAATAAATAAATAAATATAATTTTTATATTGAGAGGAATATGGTCCAACTGGGTTTATCAATAGAAGAAATTTAGAAAATATTTTCTTTTATATAATATTTTAAAAAATAATAAAGTGGTGTTTAGTTTTTGTTTTGCGGTACTGGGATCTAATCCAGGGGCACTCTACTACTGAGCTACCTCCCCAGCCCTTTTTATTTACTTTTTAAAATTTTGTGACAGGGTCTTGCTAGGTTGCTGAGGCTGGCCTCAAACTTATGATCCTCCTGCTGCAGACTCCTGAGTCATTGAGATTACAGGTGTGCACCACAACACTTGGAAAAATAAAATGTTTTAAAGGTCAAGGATTCAAAAAGATTTTTCTGACTTAGTTGCATTTTCTGGAAAATAAAAGCCCTTTTCAATTGGGATATAGGTAATTTCCATCAAAATTTAAAACTTATACAAGGGAAAGCATACACAAATCATACTTCAAAGAGAATTTTTAAAAATAGACAATACAGGCAAAGATACTCCTTTACGTTTGTACAATTCAATGTTTCAAGAGAAGATGAAGCCAGAACAACAAAAAAAGTGTATTTAATTGAACTCAAAGTAGTAAAAAAGGTCAGAAGAGATTGAAATGAAATATATTTTCAATATTTGGTTTTAAAATGTATACTTGCGAGGACTGACCATTGAATTACAAAATTTTCTACAGAACATGAATAAGATCAGTCATCTCATACTTAAATTCAATGGATATTAATATAAAAAATAAAATATATATGAACAGGCCAACAGGGTTGGTGTTAGGACAGAGTCATTTCTTACATGTGCAGCCCAACATTCACATACAGCAGCACAACATAGGGTAATTCAACCTGCTACTTTCTACATGCAAAACAGGACATACTTTTTTTTTCCCTGTACTTTGAAATTATTTATCTAAATATAGAGTAGTTGGGTAAATAGCTAACAGACTTACATTACATCAAATTGCAACTCTATAGCATGAACTGCTCCCCCAACTTTCTGGTACAGTACAGTTCAAGAGTAGTATAACAATCTGAACAATCATCAATTGTACAATTTTAATATGTTAACTTAATGTATATGTTTAAAAATTATGCAAATCATCGTTTCCAAGTCTTATATCATGATAGTTTTCATTATATGAAATTACACAGAAGTCTTCAGTGTTTTAATTAAAGATTTGTCCAGGCATAGGAACATCACTAATTTTTATTGTGACTTTGACTCTATAACATTTACTGAAGTAAAGAATCAATTACTGTCTCAGGCTTTGCAGAACGCTTTCTGTTTGAAGAAGAAAAAAAGAAAACATGAATGCTTTTAAAAAGACAAAAATGCAAACACTTTACAACATGTAGTAGAAAAATAATGGGGTGGCTATAGAATCTGGAAATTGGCTGACATCACACCCTAATATACAGAGTAGTGAGAGATTGGGGAGATGCTAGTGTCCAAAACTGGACTAGACGATGTGGCCACGTAAAGTGGGTTGCACGCTACCAGTTTGGAATCTCTTACTAATCTCTTTTGGGCTATGCTAATGGCACAGGTGGATTGTGTAAGAATTAGACACAAATCATCTTAAGCAACAACTCACAGATACCTATGTAGGGACTGATAGAAATGCTATATTATTGTACTGTTTATGCAATTAAGCCCAGCACAATGAATTATGTATTTCTAATGAGGACTATCACATTGAACATATCATGTAATATAATATCGATGAACCATTTATTGTGTATATTTGCCTAGATTTATGGCTATCTACAATTTTTATGATACAACAGGATATTTCTGGTATACAAAGATGCTGATTTTGGCTCACATAATGTTAGCCCACACTGTTTTTTTTTAGCTTAACCTAAAGCTAAGCTAAAAAAAAAAAAAAAAAAAAGGTACATATTTATAAATGAACATTATGGAAGCCATATCCAAAGAGCTCATCAAATTTGATGTTTTAGGTCTACAAAATAAAAAAGTAACTAAAAACTGAGGGATCTCATGTAAATAATCTGAATTTCTTGCTTCTCCTTAGAAAAGAGAAGATTCAGAAACAACAGGCCCACTATTCCCACAACTAATTAGGAACTTTTAAAAGCACAGCTCTCCAGCTTGCCCCAGTCCCCTCCACTAGCTACTTTCTACTATGCCAGGACCAACTATCTTACCATCATATTTGTAGTGTCATATTTCCTAGTAACTGCAGAGTTAAGAGGAAAATATTTCTAGTAAAAGTGGAAAAGTAAAACACAAGATCTAAAAGAACTTGTGTTTCTTAGAACTGATTTGCTTCATTCCTTAATATTGCATGTGTGTCTTCGGTGGGCACATGAAAGTTTTTAAACTGCTTATCTAAATGCTGAAGAATGCAAAAATTTGTATACTAAAGAAGTTGGAAGACCTTAATTCTTTAGTCAGATTTTACTTGCTCAAATTGTGACTACATAAGAAATTTGATTTTTAACTTATTAACCAAAATATTTATCATGCTAGATAAATTTTAGTTTCCTCTAAGTGTATTAATCATCATTTTATTGGATTCAAGGATGGTCCTTACCTTCTCCCTGTTTTTGGCCTTGTTTTCCCCTTTGATGTCCGTGGCCTTTCTAATTTCATCAAAGACTGACGCAAACTCTCCTCAGTATAGGCAAGATACACATGGGAAAGATCTACTTCAAAGGGCTAGTGAAAGAAAAAGTTAAACCAGATACTCTTTAAAAAGTTAAACCAGATTTAGGGGAAGATGTAAAATACTGAACAAACACCTAGCAAAAAAAAAAACCAGAGAAGATAAAAATAAATAAATATTTAAAGACTTCTTCTAATTCCAATATCTGAAATGTATTCACCAAAGTTTGGTGAATTAGAACGTCTGAAACACTATAAATTTCCTCAGACATAAAGAAAAACTGTTACTAACTTCCCTAAACCTTGTTCCTCTTCTTGTTGACCTACAACTAGAACAAACTTTGAAAGGGAAGGCAGATGCATTCTTGTCTTTCACCATATCCCCATGACCTAGAGAGGTGAAAAGAAGATTCCAAAGAGTGTCTCCAGGCCATTCTTATGACAGAAATAAGCTGGCCATCAGGATAAGCCTGAGAGTGAGCAGAACTGTCCTAACAACCGCTCCATCCTAGAGGAGCCCACTTTTCAGCAGAGCTGATTAACAGATACCAGGTTAATAGCACACTGTAATGACCCACATTCCTATAAAGAAATATGTGTAATTTTTTTAAAAAAGTATTCTTACATCTTTCTCCTTTTTATCAGGTACTGGTGTTTGCTTCCTCATGTTATTTCCTGTATAGGCAACACATTTCTCAAAAAAAGGAAAGGGTGGGGAAGAAATGTCTTGATTAGTAATTAGTACTGTGAATTAGGCAAACTACTGTGAGATATCCTGATGTTTCAATAGTAAAACATGATTTGAATATTGATACAGAAAAGGAACCAGAGGTCAATCAGTTCCATATCTCCCAATCTAGGCCATTTCTACCACATGATCTCTGTTACAGTTAATTAGAAAACCATCTTAAATGCCCTACTAAATTCTCATCTGATTGATCCTCTGGACCACTTCCCACCTCACGGCAGCCAGCACAATTTCTAGTCCAGAGAAAGTAGTTCACATTATTTCATGAAAGGATGAAGATAATACTCACTAGCTGCCATTCTCCTATGTCTTCATTCCAGTGTACATAGTTTTCAATCATTTCCTTTTAAAAGTCAAGGACAGTTCATTTTTAATATTTAATAGCATTTAAATTATTGAAAAATAGTCATAGAATGCTTAAGTGACAAAAGTTTCAAGACATTATATTACTGCATGATACCATTTCTATTAAGTTTTAAAATATACATTCTTTTTTTTTTTTTTAATATTTATTGTTTAGTTATTGGCAGACACAACATCTTCGTTTGTATGTGGTGCTGAGGATCGAACCCGGGCCGCACGCATGCCAGTCGAGTGCGCTACCGCTTGAGCCACATCCCCAGCCCTTAAAATATACATTCTTAGGAACATGTGTAGGAACTATTAAACTATATAAAAATAGGGCCGGGGATATTATTATTCAGTGGTACAGCACTTGCTGAGCATGTATGAGGCCCTAGGTTTCATTCCCAGCACCACACACACACTCTCACACACACACAAATATGTTATACTGTATGTGTACACTATTGTGTGTGTGTGTGTGTATATATATACACACACATACATTTACATATATACATATGTCAAGAGAATGAGAACACAGGAATCAGAATGATGGGTACATTTGGTTGGAAGAAGCATGGATGGAAGAGTGTGGGAAACCATTTGGTTAAAAGTAGGTTACTGTCAAGGTCCTAGCTTTTGTTTTGGGTGATGAATTCACTACAAAATAACTAACTAAATTAAAGCAGACCATCCAAGGACAAATAAAGAGAGTGGGCTATGTATCCAGTATTAATTTTATACACCTGAGGTCCAAAGGAAAAAGTACTAAGGCTTATTTTCAGACAAATTCAAATTTGTCTGAAATTCAAAACAGATTTTTAAGAAAATCATGTTCAAAGTTGATTAAAATGAATTGGAAAGAGAATTTTTGGTTATGAAAAAGAGGATAAGATTTTTAAATTATACTTGACTAAGAATTATCATACATTTGGAGATGAATGGTGGTGATGGCTAAACAACATTATGAATATTCTTAACATTGCTGATCTGTACACATTAAGGATGGTTAAAATGATAAATTTCATGTATGCTCATTTTACCAACCAGACACACAAAAATTAACATCCATAAACAAGGCAAAATAGCCTAGGGGTTCTATTTACTGGACCTATACCTTGATTCTGATTGCATTTACATGAATCCGAGTTCTCCAAATGGAAGAGAAATTCTTAGATACTTACATATTAAGGGAACCTTAATTAGATATTTAGATATTAAGGGAAGTTAACCGAAGTTAACTGGCATTGTTCAAGAAACTTTTATAGATAATAGCTAAATTAAATTACAAAGTTTATTTCCTTTTTTTAACCCAAGTCCAGTGACTAACATCTAGATTAGAGAACTTCCTGCTTACCTGATAGTCCTGAGGTATAAAGTTATCAATAATAAGCATTTGAAGTCGAAGCTCCCGGCTAAGTTGCCGAATGTTTTCCAGTAGGCCTTCAATTTCCCTCTGATGTTCTTGTTGGAGATCTGCCATCTACCAGAAAATCCATAAAAATATTATAAATAAATAAGATTTTGAGTACAAAAGTTCCTCTGACATAGGACATTGGCTTGTCAAACCTTATGCAGTTCTTTTATAAAAATAAAATAGACTGACACTATCACTATGTCAAGTTATTAGTCAAAATTGGGGAAAAAATTAGTTTGATAGCTAAAACTAAAAATTGCACATAAAGGCAAAGTATTTTATTTATTTCTTTAAAACTGTAAGCTCATGTTATGATTACGTATGCATTCTTAATCAAAGGAATTTCTTCTTTAAAAATTCAGAACTAGGGCTGGGGCTGTGGCTTAGTGATAGAGCACTTGCCTAGCATGTGTGAGGCATTAGGTTCGATTCTCAGCATCACATATAAAAATAAATAAAATAAAGGTCCATCAACAACAATAAATATTTTTTAAAAATTCAGAACTACATTTGTAGATCATTCTAAGAAACCAACCTCTGACTTTGCAGCCATCAGCATAGTCCAAACTTTCTTTAATTTCTTGGTCTTTCCCTGTGCTTCCTCTTGTAAACTGGTATATTTTTCTTCAATATCTAAGCGTTCTTGCTATGATAAAAATTGGTAAACTTCAGAATCATTTTAAGACACAAATTTAAATTATTTTAAAAAGTTAGTGACTATTATCCTCAAAGTAAACCATAAATCTGCTTTTAGTGCCTGTCTCCCAGTTATTTAGGAGGCTAAGGCAGAAAGATCACAAGTTCAAGGTCAATTCAGGCAACTTAGTGAGGGCCCATCTCAAAATAAAAAATAAAAAGGGCTGGAAATGTAGCTCAGCACTCTGGTTCAATCCCTAAACCCCCTAACACACACCCTATTTCAAAATTTTATTAAGATTATAGATATTAAAAGATAAATAACTTAGGCAACAAATATTAAACTTAAAGCAAAAAGTCACATCACCTCTTTTTCCTCAAGTTCTCTGCGAAGCTGCTCTGCTCTTTTCCTCCTTTCTTCCAGCTCCATGTTAGATTCTTCAAGAAGTTTTTCTTGTTCCTCAGCTTTGGCCAACAAGTCAACACCACCAACAATTACCTTCTTCTCCAGAGCAGATAATTTTTCCAGCAAAGATTGATGCTCTTGTCTATTGATTCAAATGAGAATACTCTAAATTCACTGATCAGCTACTGTTCTAATAATAGCATTTCCCAAAATTTGATAAGAATTTTAGATGTACAATTTCAAAATTAAAAAATAATTATATAACATCTCTATAAAACTATACCTCTGTGTAGTTTTAATTCATTAACCTCTAATTCAAACTCACCAATATTTTTCCTCCCACAGAGATTAAATAATTGAAACAGATTTAATCTTTAGAAATATATCACATACATGGCATTTTCTACCCCAGAACAGCTATACTTGAAACAACAATCAAGCTTTTAGTTACTATTCAATTTTCCTGCTTATATATCTTATGAAAACTATTAGAAATTTAAATCATGAATTCATCTCAATTCAATAAAACTCACTGAGCTTTAAGAAGATCTTTTTCCCGCTTCTCTAATTCAGCTCTAGCCTTGTTTCTTTCTTCTTCTTCCATGTCAAGCTTTGTTTCAAGTGCTTTTCTCTCCTCATCAATTTTTGCTTGCATTTCAACCATCTTATCTGGAGAAACTTTCTTTTTACCTATTTGAGTCATTTAATTGCAACAATCACTAAAACAAGTGAGTGTTTCAGACATGTAAATTATCTTTGATACAGAACTAACTAGACTCCTCAATAATACAAAATATCAACATTTTAAGAAAATCAAACTGATAGTATCACTCATTTCCATTTATGTTCTAGAAGAACTTTTTTTATATATATTTTTTAGTTGCCAATGGATTTTTCATTTTATTTATTTATATGTGATACTGAGGATCAAACCCAGGGAGGGCCTCACACATGCCAGGCAAGTGCTCTATAACTGAGCCACAACTCCAGTCCTAGAAGAACTTTTTAATTCACTGCTAAATTCAAATTGTTGTTCAACTGTACAATGATATCTAAGAACAAAAGTAGGTTAAAGAGAAGCAAAACAGATGGGCTGAAAATAGGGAAAGAAAGAGTAATAGGAAAGCCAAATAAAACAGCAAAAATTTCTGTGTCCCCAAATAATACATATAGGATAAAAAAGAAAGCAAAATGATTCTTCAGTTTCTTTCTCCTGATAATTAAGTACAATCACAAGTGGCTTCTCAAAAACCGTCTCCCAAATAACATAAATTAAAGACACATATAGATATAAAATACAGATAAAAATATCAGAATTTGTATCAGGTAGTTTTTAATTTATTCTTGAGAGTTTTAAAATTTTATTATTCAGGGTTTTTCTAAAACTTTTGTTTAATAAAATTATTAGAAAGTATTTTCTACCACATAGTATATTTCTAAAGAAAGAAATTCTATAATAATTATACAACAGTTACATAGTATTAACCAAGCATTTTATAGCTGATTAGCTGTCATGATTATCATCAGATCCTAAATGAGCAACTAAAATGCTCATTACTATGACAAACTCAGGATCCTAAATCTCCCTAATTCAGATTAAATAAGTGTCAAATATAATCAAAAATACTACCAAATAATAAAGCTGGAACATAACTTCCAGTTGATTATTTTGATTATAATGTCTAATAGTGTTCTATATACATATAATAGGTATTCAATGAAAGTTTACTGATGAATTTCAAAAATCATGAAATTCATATGAAAAATCAAAAAGAAAATAAAAACTAGCTTACTAAAATGGTTATGGAACTGAATCAATGACAATTCATTTCTGGCAACTATTTCTCAGAATCATATGTTCCTTCAGAAAACCAATCAAACTTTTCACAGAATTGGTCTGAGGCTCTCCTGAAAGCTTTGTCATTCTTAACTTCCTTCCCAAAGGACTGTAGAAGAAAAGGGTAAACCAGAAGAGTTTATAAATTGTTAATGCCTCTACCCCAATCCAACCCCTTCTGCTAATAATGAGGAAAAAAACTGAAAATAATTATGATGGTAACATATATCTGAATATATTCTTTGAAGAACCATGAGAAGAAGAATCATTCATAGGCTTCATTTAACTCTTCAGGCCAAAATTATATTAAAAACAAACAAACAAGGGTTTAAAATACAATATCCTTCATTTCTAAGATCTGTAAATTCAAAGCAAAATCTAAGCCACAAAACAAATTAAAATAAAAGCACTGATCCAAATTCATGCTTTGGTATGGTGTGATTCATTGCATTCCAAAAGTCAGGATGTGGACCTGAATCTGTTGGCTTGTTTATCACAGTCCCCTGTATGGTACCTTCTGGGTTATATGGTTAAAAAATAACTTTTAAAAATAATTTAACTCCTTTTCTCAATGAATACTTAGAAAGAATTTCCCATAAGTAATTCAATTTCTCAGAAATTTGAGGGACAAAAGATAAATTTAGGTGTGTGCATTTAAAAACCTGTAACTTCCTTTCCACCTCAGAATTACAAATATTTAAAGAAAAAATGGCAAATATGTTAAAAGGAAAACAACACAGGTATGAAGACATGGATGCTTGACATATGAACATGAATATTTTTAGGCCTTTAGGATTCTAATTGTTTTTGTTAATAGTTAAAAATAGTTTTTACAGGGCCTGGTGGCACACAGGTAATCCCAGCTACTTGGGAGGCTGAGGCAGAAGGATCACAAGTTCAAGCTTAAAGTCAGCCTCAGCAACTCAGTGAGACCCTGACTGGGGATGTAGCTCAGTGGTAAAGCACCACTGGTTTTAATCCAAACAAAACAAAACAAATAAAAATAGTTTCAAAACCTACAAAGTGGTAAAAAAATAAAAAGATTGAATATGTAGAAATATAAAAATGCATGCCTCTTGATGAATTAATACTATGCCTGAATTATATTAGTAAAAACCATCTGGTAATGTTTTTCAAAGTGATGCTTTCGCAGCAAAAAACACTACTATGCTGCTCTTGTAACATTTTCATGAAGATGACCATGCATATATAATTAGTATAGCTAGAATCAATTTCAAAAGTCTGATATTTACCATGTTAGTCTAGCCAGAATCACTTTGATAAATCATTATATTTCTTCAAATAATACTTTAAGCTAACCTTGAATATGTTCCAACTTTCCTAACCAATCATTTTAAAATGGGGCATTACTAATAGTCACTTTTACATGTACTTTTAAAATTAATTTATTTATTTTTACCCTGTTCTTTATGATACAAATAAGGTTTAGTCTCCAGGGGGCTGGCCTGTGGACTCCTGGGTTAGGGTTAAGGTGCTTTAGTCTGGGGGAAGGTGGATACCAGGGGCAAGAGCCTGGTATCCAGGAGCACAAAGGTGATCTCCCCTCATCACCGTCACCGTTAAGTAAGAACTTTGATTCTTCTAACTACAAATATTTTAAAAGACTTTTTTAAAGGGTAGGGGAGTAAGGCTGGGAAGTAAAGCACTTGCTTAGCATTGGTAAGGCCCTGGGTTTGATCCCTAACAACATACACACATAGCCTCTTTTAAACAAAGCCAGTTAATTAAAAAAACAACAACCACCACCCCATAACAACATAGTTTCTAATATTACATGATAAAATTTCAGCACAAAATTTCAGGTAAGTAAATTTTAATAATGCCAGAATAAAGAGTATTTAATTAAGACAAACAGAACTAGTAACATTTTCCAGTTGCACTTTGTCATGTGTTCTAACCAAAACTGTGATGGTGAACTGGCAAGGAAAGTCTGAGGGGAAGAACTTCAGGGAAGTATTAACTGAATTCATTTCATATTATTAAATGAGTACCCACCAGCATAGCTCACAGGCACGTTATTCTTGGCTTTAAAAGAAAAGAGTGGAAAATGTTTGTGAAATCATTTATAATTGTATTTCTAAAATATGACTTTAAGAATTTAGGAAAAAAGAAAGTTTTATTTTGTTTTTGGTATCTGGGCTTGAAACCCATAGTGCTGAGCTACATCCTCAGTACTTTTTTTTTTTTTTTTTCATTTTGATACAGGTTTTGCTAAGTTGTTTAGGGACTCACTAAGGTTGCTAAGGCTAGCCTTGAACCTGTGATCCTCCTGCCTTAGTCTCCCAAGTGTTTTTTTTTTTTTTTAAGTTGAAGTTGAAAGAGTTTTTGAATACAAAAAAATGGATACTTACCTTGCAAAAAAATATTAAATTAAAAAATGCTGTTTAATTAACAAAGTTCTTTATAAGATAAATAACTACCAAGTGGAGTGCAAATCAATCACACCAACCTGCTTGATCTTGCAATAAGAAGTGGTAAGCAAATCGTAGACAGGAAGCATATGCACAGAGATGAGGAAGAAAAAAAGGAAAACATTATTTCCTTTGTAAAACAAAAAAAAATGTATAATAGCATTTACAGTATAAGTAGAGAAATAAATCAAATCATTATTAAAACGGAAATAAGAGCCCATGTAAAAAGAAAGCATATTGAATATAATGAGAGATACAATTTAAGCAAAGAGAAGATTACTTTACTCTAAGATTACAACTCAAGGAGCTCACACTGACTCCCAAATTCCTGCAAATTTAACAATTCAGCATCATGTGGTTATGTTAAATGGTAGACAAAGAATTGGGAACCTGTTAAGACCTGGGAAATTCCAAAAGAACAAAGCAGAAAATTAAGCCAATTTTTAAAATTAATAAGTTGAAAGTAACAAAATTCACATTGTCCATTTCCAAAATTTCCCAATTCAATGTGTCTCCTAGTACAAAGATCCATTACAGGTGTGCCCCATTTTAAGAAAATCCAACTCAAAACCCTGAACCAAAAAGAGATAAAAGTTTATAATTTTCACTATTTGACAAAAAAATTTTATGAAGAATTTTTAAAGACAGCAAGTTCACAATACACTGTTTTCCAACTTGATTTATAAGCAATGTTTTCAGAGGAAAAAATTTACTACATAAAATGGAGTACACCTGTATAGTAACAAACTTACATTCAACCTATTAGTAGATTATAGAAGTAAATGACAACTGATGATTCAAGCAAGGGACACCTAAAAAAAAAAAAGGCCACTCGGGTTTTATAAAGGGAGGGTACAAACATAACAAGTTACACACAGCAACCACATGCTTGGGACAACTATCTCTCCACTTCACCAATCTACCCATGTTACAACAACAACATATTTTATGTGCTAAGTATGTAAATAGCAATGAAAACTTCTTGAATTGAACAAAGTACAACTCATTTCACACTGTAAGTTCATGTAACTATTCTTTAAGAACTAAGATAAGTTTTGCATTAGAAAAAATGCAATGTTACCTATTCAGATATTTCTCATATTTTAGTTTATAAAATAAAATTAACCTCTATATGGTCTCTAAAGCAACATCATGTATTTTTTTCAAATTATCCTCTGAAGTGAATCATTTTGGTAAATTGCTTAAGAATCGTCAATAGACAGATTTTTGCTATTCTTGGATTCTTCCTCTAAAAAGCTAAATGCATAAGAACAATAAGCAATTATTTTGTTATTAGTTTGGGAAAGGTAAGAATATAGATAATGCTTTAAAAAGACAGTAAGCTGCAAGCTGGTACAAGAAGGTATCATCTCCCTTCTGAGAATAAAATATGAATAGATAAAATTAAATAATATTTTTCAACTTAATTAAAGTTTAAGAAAAAGTCTTTAAGTCTGAAATAAGTCTAGACAGATCCTGAGTAAACTTCATGTGGTTCTTAATTCTTTAATCACATCTTGGAAAAATTCTTAAAACCTATCAGGTAATTAGAAATGGAGATAAAGTCCATTTGAAATAAAATACTACTCAATTTATTTTTACTTGCTTGAAACACTCCATTTTTCTTTATTTGGGAGACTTTAATCTTAAGCTACTGCTAAGAATAGGACACCAAAGTGTAAAATTTTTATAACTGTATGACATGTTATAATGGGTACTGATATACTGCCAAATGTAATTGGTACTTTTAGAAATTCAGGATTTGTTGTTACATGTCCCTTATACTGACCAAGATTAAACATTTATAATGAAACATAAAAAACAACCATAAGAATTTTTCTTTTATACAGCTTACTAGCTCTCTTTACATTATCTCAACTGCAAAAGCATGAATCTCTCTTCCATTGTCTCAAACATAAGCTAAAGCATATGTTTTAACAATTATGGTTAACTGGAAGCAATGAAGGGGCATAGGGGATCATCAACATGCTTTGTTCTACTGAGAAGTCCAACATGTATTCTTCAAATAATGACAGGGAGCGGTGCAGCATTGCTCAAATGAAGCCCATGGGTTATGGAGAAGCCAAAGCTCTGTTAGAGAATTTAAGAGCTACCACTCACTAGTCAAGAACTTATCCAGAGGTTTCTCTATGACAGAACATGTGGAGTCTGAACTACTGCTGCTGCTACTGCCTGGAAGACAAAGAAATGAGCCCAACGCCAACCAAAGAAAGAAAAAACAGGAATATGAACACACATATAGAGAAAAATTCAGTTCCAGAGAAAGAATTTTAAAGGACAAACAAGCTTTGTATTAAAGAATCAAAACTTACTTTCCCTTAAAACCAGTTTTGGTAGTAGTCTATCCAATGTTCTCTACTTCCCAAAGCCATATGGGGGGGATTAAAAACTGTATAAAGATTCACTGTGTGCAAATTTTACTACTCATTTAAAACACTGCATGTTGAAATGACAAGAATAAAAAATATGTTATTTGGTGACATTTAAGTCTATTTAAATTATTTAGGTTATAAGTTAAAGGAAGTTTTAAAACTTAAAGTCAAATTCAACTAACGTTATAGGTCTGTCACCAATTTCCCTCTCTCCCCTCATGGCATCAAACTATCAAATACAAATATTTATGTTTAAGGTATGACAGCAAAACTGAAAAGGCTCATTGAAAAAATTTAAATTTCTAAGCCTGGAAGGCATATTATCATTAAATATTTTAATATATTAAATAGTGGCATTTTTCTACATAAAGTTTTATTCTTAATAAATCTATTATATGCTTTATAGCTTTCTAAACAACAGTTCATTTTGTTAAAAAAAAAACTAGATATGAACAAAAAATACATTTCTCTAAGTCAGGGTTTGGCAAACATTTTCTACAAAAGGACAAATAATATGTGTTTATAGGCCATAAGCCATGTGAAAGCAGCCACAGAACATATGTAAACAAATGAACATAGTTGTTTTAATAACATTTTACAAAACAGATATGGGCTAGACTTGGCCAGCAGGTTGTATTTTACCAGCTCTTGCTCTAAATCATGCTTTTCCTCTCTTCTGAATTTATACAATCTTTACAGTTTTTAAATTTGGGACTCCTGATCAAAGGGTGATGGGTTTATTTTCAGCAACATCATTTAAATAAGACAAGCAAAATATGCACCAGCTGGAAAACAATGATCCACACTAATGGAAGAGAGTTCTGAAATAAATATTTAGGATAAATAGGCTTGAAATGCAGGCTATTATAATATGTCCATCTCTTTTGCATGTTATCTATAATCTTAGCATGACAAAGTCTTAATTCACACATGATAACATATGCCCCACATTGGGGTGAGAATGAGCACATATTATAAAGAAAAGGAATTAAATTTTAAAATACAATACTTAAACAAATTTATTATTTAAAAATCTAATGAATTCTAAAGATTAACCTTACTTGAGGAAAAACTCCACATTTTCCTAATTTATTAAAATATGTAGGTTCCTAACAGATCCAAGTCCTCACGTAAAATCAAAACTCTACCTAAAATTTCAAAATGTTATATCCACTCTCATAGTTTTATAATTCTAAAAAAAAAAAAAAATCCAAACTATTCTGAGTAAGCTAAGAACAGGTTAGTGGAGAAAAAAACAATGCAAAGTTAACCAGGTATATGGCATACATCCTCTGTTCTAATTGTTACCATAACTATAAAAGCAAAATAGAAGGCATGCACTCTATTGTCTTAGAAATGTGAAAGCATTATTAGGTAGCAATCCTAATTATTTCTACCAATTAGAACACTTAACAGAACTTACCCCTTCTCTTTTTTCTTTTCTCTCCATCTTCTCCAACCTCACCCTCTTCATCCTCTTCCTCCTCTGACCCACTGATATCAGAGCCTGATATTTCTTCTCCTTGGATAGAAATTTAATGCAATGATTTTAGTCTGTACAAGTCATTGGTTATTTCAGAAGTACTTATACCAATTTTCTTCATTAAGCTTTTTTTTGACTCAAATATACTTATACTTTTTGCAGTACTGGGATTGAACCTGGGCAGGGGTGCTCTATCACCCCAGCCCTCTTAATTTTTAATTTGAAGATAGGGTCTCAATAAGTTGCCCAAGCTGGCCTCAAGTTTGTGATCTTCCTGCCTTAGCCTCTTGAATAGCTAGAATTACAGGAGTGTATCACTGTGCCTTGCTCAAAATATAAATTTAAATGTTTCAGGGCTCCTAGATAGTATATCAGTTGTGCTAATCTCAGAAATAGCTAAGATGTACACACAGACTTTATTTTTCCAAAGTTCCTAAAAAAGTTAAAATCTGACCCATTTAAAAATTCAAATAATTACTTTAAATAGAGTTCTAAACATATACAAAAGATTATGTGTTAGAATTATTAGTTCAGTCTTTTTAAATGTGATGTCTTTGGGGAGTATCTTCTCCTTGTTTCCTGCTTAAGATTTCAAATAATTCAATCTGTATATTTTTTGAACCACAAAACTGTCAGTTAACACAGTGATCCCATATCTAGGATTATATCACAAAAAAATTTCAAAGACAGCTTTATCTGTACAAAGATAATGTTAACTACATATTCTCTTAAAGACAAAAAGTCAATAAAATGGAACCATTAAATAGTAATACAGAGAAGCACTAAATTAACTTCAAATTAGTTATTTAAAAACATCATTGTCCATACATGAAGATTTTAAGAAAGCAAAGGTGATTGGGGGAAAAAAGTAAAATACATACAAATTGCAACTAGATTATATAGTTATAAATAAAGGCTGGAAAGAGAATAGTGTCTTAGGTAAAGAAATCATTTAAAATATTTTATTCTTTGAGACTAGAAACAATGATTCTTATCAGCAATGACCATACATAGTGTCCCATTCTATATACCATTCTCCAATAAAAGGAACCAGGGAGAAATGTATTTTAAGATTATGGTAGGGAAGATACAAAATGAGCCTAAAACATTATCTTGCAGGACCAGAAAAACAAGCAGGTGCCTAAAAATAACTTGATGAGAACACCCTGAAAGAATATAGGAACTACCCCACTAGAGCTCCTAATAGCCAAAACTGTGACAATATGAGCAACCTAATAAATGATAAAATACTGGATTGTAACACACAGGCTAAATAAAATAAAAATTTGAATAAATAAATGGAGATTCCTCTTCCTAGTAACAGAATTCCAAACACTAAAAAAAATGAATGATGAGAATAGAAAATCATCATTGAACAAATGCAACAGAATTATAGTCACAGGCAAGAACCACTGATACATGCTAAAATTAGGAATAAGGTACTTATTTTCTCCTACTATCTCTTAGTAGGAGAACCAGGATATTTACAGAATCTCAAAGTATCTCCCCACAAGATACATATTAATTGCAAATGAAAAAAATAGTAGGTTTACAGTGGAGGAGGCTTCAGAGTAACTATGAGAGAACTGCAGACTAGTCCAAATTAAAGGACAATCTAAACATTCAGGATCAGCACTTTTCAGGAAAGTCAAGATTCTTCATTTTCTTTTTCTTTTGCAGTGCTGAGAATCAAACCCAGGGCCTTGAACATGCTGGACACATGCTCTACCACTGAGCCATATTCCTACTACTGAAGTGTCAAGATTTTGAAAAACAAAAGGAACTAAGGCAATTGGAGGAGATTTAAAAGACAGAAAAAAAAATAGACTAATAAAATTATTGTGTGTGATCCTGGATTGAGTCATAGACTAAAATAAGAAAAAAAAGGGGTGGGGCTGGGGATGTGGCTCAACTGATAGCGCGCTCGCCTCACGTTTGTGTGGCCCGGGTTCGATCCTCAGCACCACATACCAACAAAGATGTTGTGTCTAAACTAAAAAATAAATATTAACAAAAATTCTCTCTCTCTTAAAAAAAAAAAAGGAGGCATTGGAAAGATAACTGGCAAAATTTGAAACAGCATATAGATTAGTTGGTGAGATTGTACTGATGTAAATTTCCTGGTTTCAATAATGGTACTGTGACAGATGTTAACATTAGGTAGCTGGATAAGGGTAATGAAGGGTATCATAGAAACTCTCTGTACTATATACATTTTCTGTAAGTCTAAAATAATTTTAAAATAAAAAGTTTAAAAATTACTTTAATGCTTTTATCTACTTTTTTATTGTTTATATGATCAACTCTATTAACTAAGTTATAAAAACAAAAGTGCAGAGCAAATAAAATAAAATGTGCTAAAAATAGTATTACCATATGATCCAGCAATTCTACTGTTGTTTTTTACCCAAAACATTTAAAACAAGGACTGTCTGCATCCATGAACACAAAGTAAGCCACACAGGCCAAAAGGTGAAAGCAATCCAAATATCCACCAATAGATAAATTGATAAACAAAGTGCAGTGTGTGTGTGTGTGTACACATACATACATACACACACATTGGAATACTTTTCAGCCTTAAAAAGAAAATAAATTGTGACATGCTACAAACATGGATGAATCTTTAAGGTATTATGCTAAGTGAATAAACTTACATAAAAATTAAACTTAGATAAAAAATCATTATTTAACAAGTAGACATAGGAAATCTACAAAATACTGTATGGTTTTACATATCTAAAGTACCTAGAATGGTTAAATTCATAGAAAGTAGTACAGTGGTCCCCAGGGACTTGGAGGAGAAAGGAATGGAGAATTAGTATTTAATGGGTACAGAATTTCTGTATATGGGATGATAAAAAAGTTCTGGAGATGAAGAGTAATAATAGTTTGCACAACAATATGAATGTATTTAATGCCACTAAACTGGTTAAAATGATACATTTTATGTTTCATATATTTTTGCCTCCTAATAATGTTAAAAATAAAGACAGCAAAATAAAGGTATGCACTGAAAATCAACATAACCAAGAAATTTAAACTCTTTAAAGCATAGTGGCTATAAATACCACCTAGTGGTCACATTTAAAACACCAAATTTCATTAGTTCACTCATTGCTTTTTCTCAATTATCTTACTCTAGTTGATTGAATTAGCACCTTCTCCAAACATATGTGATGGGGTTAGCATCTCTAAATTTCACCTGTGATGGAACTAGTTTCCTTCCCCAAAGACTGCACAAGTGCAGTTTCTAAGCCCTCTATTTACGTGATACACAGAGGAGTTCCTTGCCAATAAGAAGGACCTATCTGTCCCTAACAATGAAGGTGCAGGGAGTGACTAGGTACTTAATGATGACTGAGATGAATAAGATCTTTAAATTTCCCAACCATTTTGCATTATCATGTTAGAAAATAATTTCCAGCCAGGTGCAGTGACACATACCTATAACTCTAGCATCTTAGGAGGCTGAGGCAGGAGGATCACAAAAGTTCAAGGCTAGCCTTAGCAACTCAGTGAGACCCTAAGCAACTCAGTGAGATCCTGTCTCAAAATAAAAAATAAAAAAGGCTGGGGCTACAGATCAATGGTAAAGCACCCCTGGGTTCAATCCGTGCTTTAAAAAAATAAAGAAAGAAAGAAAGAAAAAAAATTTCCAAAATAGAATCTCACATTCAAATTTGAGTATGAAAGCATATTTTAAGGCTATGCAATGCGCTTTTATTGATAGCAAAAACAACTACTATCTTTCCTTAACAATAGTGAGAGGACTGGGGCTGTAGCTCAGTGGTAGAGCACTTGCCTAGCATGTGTGAGGCCCTGGGTTCAATCCTCAGCACCACATAAAAATAAATAAATAGAATAAAGGTATTGTGAAAAAAAAATCTTAAAAAAATAATAATAGTGATACTAATCACAAAGCCAGAACTCTGATCTTTTTCACAATACACACACAGTAGAATGTGCTTCTATACATAGATAAAAATTTATTATTTCATATGTAAACATAGGAAATTTACAAAAGGTCATGGGAATAAAGATGACAGCTTTAATTTAAAAAAATACAAATGTTATATAATTTATTTATTTATTTATTTTTTTAATTTATTTTTTGTATTGGTTGTTCAAAACATTACAAAGCTCATGATATATCATCTTTCATACATTATATAATTTATACTTAATTGAAAATGCTAGGTATTAATTGTTTTCAGAAATATTCTTTTAAAAATTAATGTTAGAAGCTCAAAAAAGTTTAATAGGTGATTTCTGTTAGAATGCTTCTCCGTTAACCAACATACTTTTAGCCAAAATTAAGATTTATATTTTTCAAAGAATTTACCTTCTTCCAGCTTTTTCTTCAGTTCTTCTATTTCTTTCTGAAACTGGCGAAGCAGAGCATCTTTTGGATCTTCATTAATTCTAGCTTTATTTTTAATATTCTTAGCACGGTTGGCGTACCGTAATGTACTAATAGTTTCATCATAATTATAATCTGCTGGCCCAATATTTGCACACTGTTGAATTAGAAATGCAAATCATTTTACACTACCATTAATTAATAGTACAACTACAAATATATCAGAATAGATGTCTGAAGTACATAGGCACTTTGACCTTTTTAAAAAAGAAAGTGTCAATTATATGGGTTTCCAAGTGATACTACTGCAAACTAATACACATGATATATTACAAAAAGGATAATCAAAAATCAAAGAAGTAAAATAGTTAATTTTTTAAAAATGAACATAATATCCTTTTTATGTATTTATTTTTATATGGTGCTGAGATTGAACTCAGTGTCTCACATGTGAGAAGTAAGTGCTCTACCACTGAGCAATAGCCCCAGTCCATAATAGTCAATTTTAAAAATGTTATTTATATTACTATGGACAAATTAGAATCTTAAATTTGCTGGATGTTAACGATACCACAAATGAAGTCTTACCATCATGGTTTTTGAGTTTCCTCCTAAAGAATCCTGAAGAAGACGAGTCAATTTAGAGTTACGATAAGGCACATGAGTGCTTTTTCCATCAACCAAGGCAGAAATTACATTACCAAGGGTGGAAAGTGAAAGATTGATTTTTGTAGCTTCCTTCAGGCGCTGTCCAGTAGCTCCAGTTTTTGCTTGTCTTTCTGAGCCCTAGCAATATACAGAGACAAAACTCAAGCTAAAATTATAATAATAATACAGAATATCCTTTTAAGGATTTTTTAAAAACGCAATTTAACAGCAATATACCTGATATAACACCCGAGATTCACTTCAAAATAATTAAGGAAAGGAAAAAGTGAGCAAGAAAAGATGAAACAAGACTGACAACGAGTTGATAACTGTTAAAAGTTGGGTGACAAGAATATAAGGAATCATTATGCTAGTCTACTTTCATATACATTTGAAATACTCCATAATGAGTAGTAAGTTAAACACAAGTCACAATTTTAAAATCTCATGTAAATCACACCTTTCCACATTAATTCTTATTTATGAGATAAATGTAAGTCATAGTACAAGTTATTCCTTAAGTAGGATCCTGTTACTTACAGCAAGATCTACAAGATGAAGCTTCCCCATCCTGACATGCATATTACCATCGACACCTTTTTCACTGCACTCTATAGTAATTGTAAAGATGGCATGCGAACGGGAACTATGTTCATTCATATTAGTTGCACCAACAGAACCTTTAATAAAGGAAGGAAATCCTTAAAAACTGTAACAGAGAGTGCGTACAGTAATAATTAAATACCCAGAATAGTTCAAAATACTTAATATCATTATAATAAAAGCCAGAGAACATGGCTAGACCATAAAAGTAAAGGTGTGCATTTAGCCATTATATGAAGTTTCCCTTACATTTTTTTTTTTTTTTTTTGGTGGTGCTGGGGATTGAACCCAGGGCCTTGTGCATTCGAGGCAAGCACTCTACCAACTGAGCTATAGCCCATCCCTCTCTTACAATTTTTGTTGAAATAAATAATTTACAAAGCCAGACAGGGTGGTATGGTGCCTATATAATCTCAAGTACTTGGGAGGTTGAGAGAGGAGGATCCCTGATACCAGTAGTTTAAGACCAGCCTAGGTAATATAGTGAGAACCCCCTTCCTCCCACTCTTAAAAAAAAAAAAATTACACATAAAGAAGAAACGTGTTAAATAACTGGAACAATTATTGCTGATTCAGCTCTCTCTAAAGATAATTATGGATGGGCTATAGCTCAGTTGGTAGAGTGCTTGCCTCGAATGCACAAGGCCCTGGGTTCAATCCCCAGCACCACAGGAAAAAAAAAAAAAATGTAAGGGAAACTTTAGTTCTAGCAAACTAAACCACGGAAATACTTGCAAATGTGCTTTAGGAATATATAGTGTAACACTGTTTGCAACAACGAAAGACCAGAAACAACAAATAGGATAATGGCTAATCAATTATAGAATAGTCGCACTTTGGACAACTAAGCAGTCATTTAAAAAAAAAATAGGCAGAATTGTATCCAATGATGTGAAAGATGCCCACAGCATTTAAATTAGGGTGTGGAGCGTATCGAAGATTGAATCCAGGGGCACTTAACATTAAGCCACATCCCCAGTCCTTTCATTTTTTCCTTTTTTTAAAAAAAATTATTATTTATTTTTATTTTGAGACAGGGTCTCACTAAGTTGCTTAGGGCCTCACTAAATTGCTGATGCTGAGTTGAAACTTGTCTTGCCTCAGCCTCCCAAACTGCGGGGATTACAGGTATGCACCACCATGCCCAGCTAGCATCTGACTTTTTAAAAGTAAGAGAGGAATATATAGTTTGATCTCATTTATATGAAGCAAAAACAAAAGCATCCACTTAAAATATACAAAATATTCATGTACTTATACAATTTTACATGAATATATTGCATAAACATGCTTTTTTTACAATAGTCACGTGCTAATTTTTTTCTTAAATTCCAAAGTATTTTAAAGCATTAATTTCTATCTTCCTACTATTTATGCAGAACTTCTCTGTGCAAACATTGATTTTAGAAATGAGACATTAAAAGAGTATATTAGCGTGTGGCTATATTAGAAGTCATATAACTGGAATGTAAACTGCATTGATAAAGTTCAATGAAAGAAAGTACATGAAAAATCAGTGAAAGAACAAAGAAATAATTTATATGAGGAATAGATAGAATTAATCAAAGAAAACACAGGGATCTGCAATTCTATATTTTTCTATTTTCTTTTAAATTAAAATATGAATTTTCTCCAAAAAATACAACCATTAAATTTGATACCACTTTTCAAAAATCATCTAATCAGTCAGTAGCAATATACAAGCCTCTACAGTGTGTTAGGTCTCACTTTATCTTGTTTTTCCCTCACTTAACATTATCTCTTATGTATATAGTATTTTTGTACCATAATTATAAAAAAAAATAGTGATTTATTGATGGTTAGATTGTTTACATCTAAAAATATTTTTCTAGACTATATATCAAGAGTTAGAAATACTAGATCAAAATGAACATTTTTTTAAATGTCAACAGATATTGTTAATATTGTCCTTCAAAAATGCCATATCAATTTCCACTCCCACCCCAGTGCCCATTTCTTCAAAGCATAAAATAATCTGGAGCTGGGAGAAGTGGCACATGCCTGTAATCCCAGTGGCTCAGGAGGCCGAGGATGGCAAGTTCCAAACCAGCCTCAGCAACTTATCGAAGACCTAAGTAACTTAACAAGACTCTGTCTCAAAATAATAAGGGTTGAGAATGTTGCTTAGTGGTTAGGTGTCACTGAGTTCAATCCCCTGCTACCTGCCCCCTGCCAAAAGAATATCTCTTACTATAGTTTTAATCTGCATTATCCTGATTACTTATGAAGTAATTTCATGTGATCATTGCTCTGTATGATTTTTCTGTGAATAACACATTATCTTTTGCTCATCTTTCTGTTGAGATTTGGTCATTTTCTTATTGATCATTTTTCTGTTAGTTTATGTATAAAAATTGAATAATGTTTAATTTCTTTGTGTTTGCTAGATCTATAGTCAAGACACAGAAACTTAATATTTTCACTTTCTATGTTCTTGTCATTTATTTCTAACTTCTAATTGCTATTGGTAACATCACTAGTACTAGGCTTTGGGCACCTATATTTTAAATATTGCTGAAGTTTCTTATTCTTTAGATTAAAAACATAAAACAACTACTAAGATAAATGTAATTTTGATAAGATTTTGTTTTGCTTTCCCTCTCAACAAAAGGGAAGCAGTATAGTGCCTGGTTAATACTAATAGCCTACATTCAAATACTCACTCTGCCACTTAGGAACTATACTACCATAGAAAAGTTACTTAAACTAAGTCTCAGTTGGTCATTCAAAAAGTAGGACTTTAGTATCTCCACAGACTACAGTGAGAATTAAGAGATCATCTTCATGAAGCACTGAGCACAAGTGCTTCCCACTTATTAAGTGCTCAAAAAATGCTCTCAATATTTAGTGTAACTAATAAAAGACAATTATATGAGAGTTTCAAAGATTAGCATAATTAAAAAGAAAAATTTTGGTCAGCATGGAAAACAATCTGATATCTTTCATTCATTTATATTCTCTACATAGTAATCATCAAAGGGAAAGAATTTTCAAGAAACCTTAAAGTTCAGTCTCTATAGAGCAAAGAATCACACTGTTTTTGTCTCTCAACCAATCTACTCAACACATAGACATTTAATCACAATTATGCACTATACTTACGATTTTTATGGCCTAGTGTCATAATTCTATCCATATCATCAGCATTATTTACCACATAAGCTGATAAATCTTTGATATAAACTCCCACATCAGGCCTTTCTTTAACCTAAAAAAAAAAGTAAGACTTTACTTACATTTATCATAATAATTCTTCCACAATTTGTTATTTATCATTTGACTCTCAAAAAAAAAAAAAAAAAACTATGGTAGAGGACATGTACATTTCTAATCTGGCAAACTAAAATCTTTGTAAAATACAAAAATACTTGGATGCAATGGCAATGTCAAATTGCTATGGAAGTTTTTAAGCACTTTCTATGTTCACATTACTGCTAACTGGAAACATTCTTCAAGTTCACATCTGTTCGTGAACTATTGGTCTTCATGAACTTTAAGGTCTTTTCCAATCACATATTAATTCAAAATTCAATTAATAACTGATTAGCTACGAAAGATGAAGAAATAAAATACAATCTCGAATTTGTTAAGGTTTAAAAACTGAGAATTTGTTAAGGTTTTAAAAATATGCTTAATATGCATAAGGCCTTGGGTTCTATTCTCAGCACCAAAAAAAAAAAAAAAAATTTTATTGTCAGGAGCTATCCATGGGTTGCATGTGAGTCACCAGGCATAGAAGCCTCATGGTAGAGACGTCTGGTGTCTGGGAATGACCAGTGGACATTCTTTTGGTCAATTACCCAGGGACAATGTGAATCTCTATCTGGCTCTGCAGTGACCCACCACAGCACCTGAGATGAGTGTGACCTGCGAAGACATCAATCAACCTGCTGACTGCAAGATATCACCAAGCAAGACTCTGCCCCTGAAACCTTATCCCTGCTTTTGATGTACCCCCTAAAATAAACCACCAGAGCCATTTTTGTCATGTCTAGTTCCAGAACCCATGAGCACTAGATCTATCAGGGACTTTACTTTCTGAGTATTTGTGCTTTGTTATTCACTAATTATTTTGAGATTGATTATAAATCTTAGGGTGGCTTGGATTATCCTGGGCAGGAAGAAGAACCCCTTAATGAGATGTTGGCCGTTATCCCCTTGAAAATTTATCATAAAAAATTTAATTTCTATAACAATATAGTTATAGTGGGGGCGTTTATGGTTTACTTGAAATACAATTAGTATTTATAGGCAAGGAGCAAGGATACTAAACATTCTGAAATGGGTGGGAGGGCTCACCCAAAGAACAACTGTCCCATATAAATTTCAATGTCCTAGTAGATATTTACATGGATTAAAAAACTATTCATAATTATCTGAGACTAAGATATAAAGACAAAGGTCTTTTCCATAATAATAATAACAATAATATAAAAATACAGAAAAACTGAGGAAAGAATTGTACTTAATTTTTCTCAGAACTCTACCAAAAGCTAATCACTCTTTTAAAAGACCAGGTCATTGACAACGATACCAATCAAGTGTTCCGATTACTATTACAACATACTTGTATGTTATAATATTCTATATCTGTAGTTCTTGCAGTCATGGTGATTCTCCATGCCTCTAACTATTTCATTACATCCTCAACTGTGGTCCCCCATCTAATCATTTCCACAATGAAGTACTAGCATTTTATTTTTAAATTACTGTTATTCTCCTTTTTATTACAGTAGGGCAGTATACTAACTTTTTTAAAATTACGTGTGTTGGTAGATTTTATCACCTGTGAATTTCATTTCAGGATAGTCAAAAGGGCATTACAAAATGTTATTAAAAAAAGAGCACAAGGTCTAACAGGGTTGAGAACCACTGGTAAGAATGTTCCTGAGAATAAATCTGATCTATAATTTAAAGTACAAAAACAGAAGTGTTCCTTCTAAATAATTTTTTTCCCAAAAGTTTGAAAAATAAAACAATAAACTTTTCAGAGGCAAAAACACTAAAAGATAAGAAAACTAAAGATGACAACTAGCAACAAAAAAAAAAATTATTTCTACAGTTTGCTATGTACATGTTATCATTACAGAATAGCCTTCATTATTACAAATAATTATTTTTTTAATATTTTTAGTTGTAGATGAACACAATACCTTTATTTTACTTATTTATTTTTATGTGGTGCTGAGACTCAAACCTAATGCCTCACACATGCTAGGCAAGCTGAGCTACAACCCCAGCCCAACAAATAATTCTTAATGCTCCAATATGCTGTACCAAAACTCTATTTATATAAGCTTAAAATGAAAAATGCTAACAAATATTATTACATGTCAGACACTGACTTAAACACTTTAATTTGTTAATGTTGGCATCAATCCTATGAAGTAGATCCTATTATTATTTCCATTTTCATGTGACAGAACTAAGACTCACAGAGGTTAAGTAATTTGATCAAGATCAGAGCTAGAATTCAAGCTAAGATAGTAGGACCCCAGAAACCATCCTCTTAATCCTAAATGATATTACAATTCACTTGCTACATGACCTTGAGCAATGGATGAAACCCCTGTAAATTTCAGTTACCACATCAGGAAAAGTAAACTGCTGGGAAGATTAAATGAAATGAAATATCACTACTACCAACTGCCATTGACTACATCAAATGTCTACACAATTGGAAAGGCTCAGTAATGGTGGCTGCTGCAATGCTGCATATATTCTTCACCATCCTACAATGGTGGCTATTGTAATTCTACCCCATTCTACTGTTATTCTGCATATGTTATTCACCTCTATTTTACTGAAAATGCAATTTCAACAAAAAATTTTAATATTAATATTTAAAGGCTATTCTTTCCTTGTTATTTGTCTCATATTTTATAGGGTTAAAAATTTGACAGTATCTAACAAACTGACATCATTTACTACTTGACTCACAAGTCTTGCTTCAGTAACTCCCCATCTCCTTTGTCTAAATTTAATAAGAAATAAATGTACAAGGTTATTTAAAACATTAAAAGTATTTTTTATACAAAAAGATTCTTAACTTAGTAAATATTCTATTGCTTTGGAAAGTATTCCAATTTCAGTTACCCTTACCTCTAATCTCTGTGTCTGATCCTTGCCCAAAAGGTCACGAACTTCTTCATTATATATTTCCAAATATGACACTCGAACCAAAAATCTATAAATAAAATATTTTAAGCACATAAAAAGCAGTGAAATGTTTATGGGACCCATTTTAAAATGAGTTTATAACTGTAAAACTTTCTTGTGTTTGTATTTCTTATTAATAGAAAATAAAAGAATTCCCTTTTACCTTGTATCACCCTCTGCTTTTGCAATATGACCAAATATGTGAGCAAATGAATTGGGAATGATTCCTCTAAGTTCAGGAACAGCTCGAACACCTTCCATGGTAAAAGTTTTGCCTGTTCCAGTTTGTCCATATGCAAAAATAGTTCCTGAAAATGATCAAGATAATCAGCCACTTTTTACAACCTGATGCGACAGAACAATAACTCTTAAAATTAATTAAAAGGAACTCTTAATTCCTTTGATATTGTGATGTAATTTCTTCCATGAATTCAAAATTTGCTCTAGTACAGATTCCATCTTTATTATCAACATGTACAATATGAACTCCGTGCCACATAAATAAAACACTGCTAAAGCACTAATCAATAAGATATTACTAATTAATAAAAAAATCTTAAACCCCAAATGCAAGAATCTTATTCTTAATTATAAGAAATTTCTTTTAATATGTATTATTTATTGTAGACATTAAATTGTAGAAGGCAGCAGAAGAACACAGGATCTGGAGCAAAAAGACTTCAATCTGAATCCATATCTGCCCATTTTTAGCTACTTGACTTTGGACAATTTATCTACCCAGAGATTGTCTCCCTGATGGTAAAACAGGGTTGAGAATATTCTATATTGATAGTTAAGAATCAAATGAAACAATTCAATTCAAATAACCAGGGCTGGGGTTGTAGCTCAGTGGTAGAGCACTTGCCTAGCATGTGTGAGGCACTGGGTTCGATTCTCAGCACCACATATAAATCAATTAAAGTCCATCAATAACTAATAAAAATATTTTTAAAAACACAAATAACCAACACTGTGCCTGGTAGAAAGTACCAGTAAATGGTGGGGTTTTTTTCCCTTATTAATCCTGAATAAATTCATTTTTTTTAAATTGTTTTAAAGTAACATTTATAAGAAATATGGGGTGTTAACTAAAAAAGTGACAATGCAATTCTTACAGATTAACTAGAGACACAACTTAAAACCTTCTAAATACTTAAACTTTTTCATCCCACAAATATTTACAACACACCTGAGTGTGGCATTGTGCTAGGCACCAGGGCCAGAGTCACAAACAAGACTAATAAAATCCTTAATCTTAAAGTGCTTATAATCTTAGGAAAAAGATACTGGCAAAACAATTTTTAGCCTGATGAGTACTGAGAAAACTGTTCCAGATGAGAGTAGGATATAAACCAGACCAGGGAATGGCTAGGAGTAGCGGTCAGAAAAGGCTTTCCAGAAGAGGTATGGTTTAAGATAAGATCTGAAACACAAATGAGATGGGAATAGAGTAGAAGAGGCAAAAGGGAAGAAAGAGAATGGAGGTTTTCAGACACTGAAATGAGATCAGAAAGAAAGAAACATGTAAAATGTAAGGTAGATACATAGAGAGCAAGAGAAACTAAACTAGCAATGTCCTAATCACACAGGGTCATGAAAACTGTATTAAAGTTTTTAGGCCTTATCCTGAAGCAGAGTGAAGCCATAGAATGATTTTTCTATGGTTATATTGTGGACAGTTGGAATAAAGCAACGGTAGACATAGAGAAACCAGTTAGAGAGTTAGTGTCAGGAGATGATATGGCATGAGAAGATAGCCTAGGATGTACAGCATAAATGAAAAAAAGTTCCTTAACTATGAATACTCTATTCAGTTAACCTCAAAGGACACCATCATTTTCAGACATTTTAAAAAATAAATCAATCACACCAGAAATAATTTTTTACACATTGGAATATAAAGTCTCAGTTTTTTCAAACTGGCTATTTCAAATTCTGCCATTAGGAATGTAACTTATTACATTCAAAGGATCTGAAAATATTGTAACTTATAGAGACACAATGAATTACTAAATAATAAGCTCTATCATGATATAGCTACTATTTACTGATCATTTCCTATGTACTAGGCCATGCACTTTACATGCAATTATATTTCTTTTTTTCACCCCAATCCTAAGGGATAGACACTATTTGTATTTCCATGATTTATTTAGGGAAATAGAGGCTTAAGTTTAGTAATTTGGTCAATGTTATAAATGCAGAGACAAGGTGTGAACATAGTCCATCTGGCTACAGAGCCCATATTTTTTCAACAGTATGCAATGGCCAAAAATTTTTTTAACTCAAAATTAGTTCCTATTTCAATTTCTGTGACTGCATTAAATACTTAAAATTTACTAATTAAAAAAAAAAACTATTAATCTATACTTTTTACACCTGAGAAAAGAAGACCATGGATTTCCTATAATAAGAGAATCTCATCTCAATTTTAGAGAGTCAGAATTTCTGGTTTTAAAATGTCAAACTTAAACAATTCTAATGGCATATAGTTTTCTTCAACATGCATCTCTTAAAACTTTACTTGTTAATATCGAAAACTGTGCTCAGGAGGCTGAGGTAGGAGGATCACAAGTTCAAAGTCAGCCTAGGCAACATTAGTAAGACCTTGTCTCAAAGAAAGAAAAGAGGAAAAGCCAGGTATGGTGGCACATGTACCAATAAACCCAGCTAGCTACTCAGGAGGCTAAAGCAGGATTGTGAGTTCAGGGCAGCCTAGGCAACTTAGCAAAACCCTATCTCAAAATAAAAAATGAAAAGGGTAGATGATTGGTAGAACACTCCTAGGTTCAATCTGTAGCACCGCAAAAAAAAAATACAAAAAAACTAAAACTGGATTGAGGTTTTTACTCAGTCTTCTCATTACCGTCATATATTAAAAATGGTAAAAGATCCACATAAAAACATGAACATTAATGTTCGTGGCAGCTTTATTCATAATTGCTAAAACGTGGAAGAAACCAACATATCTTCAGTAGGCATAAGGATATAATACCATCCAGACAATGAATTATTATTTATCACTAAAAAAATGAGTTATTATCAAACTATAAAAGAGAGTATGGAAACTTAAAAGCATATTACTAAATAAAAGAAATGACTATATACTATATGATTACAATTTTATCGCATTCTGAAAAATACAAAAGTATAGAGGCAGTAAAACAATCAGTGGCTGCCAAGGTTAAAAGGGAGGGTGGGATGAACAGGCAGAGAGCACAGAGAATTTTTAGGGTGATGAAACTACTATGCATAAAACAAGAGTAGGTAGATATTAGCATTAATTTATCTAAACCATAGAATATACAACAGCAAGAGGGAACCCTAATATGAGCTATGGAGTTTGGATATAATGATGTATTGACACAGGCTCATCATTTTAACACATATGCCAACCTGGAAGGGGATAATCGATTCAGAAGGAGACTGTGAATGTATGGGGATGAGAGTTATATGGAAACTCTCTACTTTCTGCTGGGAATTTTGCTATGAACTTAAAAACACTTAAAATAACATTTATTAATTTCTTTAAATTGTTTTATTTATTTATTTATTTTGGGACTCATTATGTTGTCCAAGCTGGTCTCAAATTCCTAGGCTCAAGAAACCCTCACGTCCCACCCTCCACAGTGGCTGTGATTACAGAAGCATGCCACTGTCCCTGGACAAAATTATTTTAAAATGGTAAAAAGATTATGTACTTGTCATTGAGAATCCAAGAAGTTATAGCTAAATCATATTTCAATAATGGAGAGTACACTGCATTACATATTATTTTGGTCCTTTTTTTATGTTTTCTCTTGTTAATGACAATTTTCAGTCAGACATTGAAAAGTAGGTATAAACTCTTGATAGTCGAATACTATTCTCTCTATATATTTATTTTTAAAACACATAATTCTGTTATTTCAAAATTAAACTAGTGATATTTCAGTTTCCAACCAAGATAAACAAGGACTAAATTAACCTACCTTCTTGGCTAAAACTAAAAGTATACAAAAGTACACAAAATCACAGTTTAATTTTTTTACACAATACCTTTATTCTTATTTTTATTATTTTTTTATGTGGTGCTGAGAATCGAACCCAGTGCCTCTCACATGCTAAGCAAGCATTCTATCACTGAGCTACAAACACAGCCCCCAAACCACAGTTTCAAAAACAATGAACATTCATAAACAAAGGACTGTGATTTCTAAAAAATGAGACACAAATGAGGTGGGTCTCTTGATTTCCCATCTTACTGCCTTAAGAGAAAATCCAAGCCATGGAGCAGGAGGGAGAACTCACAGACCAGAAGATACCCTGAGCTAAGAAGAAGGTGCTGAGAAGCTACAAAATAAGTCAGAAGAGGCAAGAGTTTGGAGGACACAGTACCAGAGAAGAGAGAACTGAATAGAGCGAGCTCTGTGCATCTGCCCAGGGTCCTCCGCAAGTATTCTGCTGAAACTGATAGGCTTATATGAGGAAACTATCTAAATAGGGGGGATGGGAGGATCAGCTAGACAGATTGTAAAAAAGAATACTCAGCATTCACACAGGCCAGGAATAGTATCTATTTCCACAGGCAGACTGGAAAAGCCCATGACAGGACATTAGGTACAAGTATGCAAAAGGGTCTTTGCCTCAGTGGGGAACAGGTTTTAACCTCAGATTAAACACTGCTCTGATACTTACTAACAAGTATTAAAAGAGTGATCTGAATGAATCAAATTGTTTTCAAGTCACTGCAAAACTCATAAATATTTATAGGAATAAAAAAAATCCAAGACCCAAGGTAAATTCAGAATGTCTTGCATCCAACCAGAAATTGCCAACTTTGCAAAAAAGCAAAACTATATTAGCCATAATGAAGAAATGAATCCATCAATCAAAACTAATGCATAGGGTTGGGGTTGTGGCTCAGAGGTAGAGTGTTTGCCTCGCACTTGTGAAACATTGGGTTCTATCCTCAGCACACATAAAAATAAACAAAATAAAGGTATTGTGTCCATCTACAACTAAAAGAAATTTTTTAAAAAAACTAACACATAAATGATACAGATGTGGGAATTAGCAGACAAGTACATTCAAATAGTTATAAAAATTGTATTTCATAGGTTAACAGGCCAAGTAGAAACATGGATGGAAAACATAAAGTCCAAATGAAACTTCGAGAGATGAAACCTACAATGTGTGAAATGAAAAATAAAATAAACAGTATTAATAGCACATTAGGTACTATAGAAGAAAAGACTGGTAAACTAGGAAACACACTAACAGAAACAACCCAGAGAGAAAACAGAAAAAAAAAAAAAACAGAAGAGAA